CCTGGCCCTACTACTAGGAACAAGAAGCAACTAGGAACAAAGGGCATTTCTACTAGGAGCAAGGTCGCTATTAGGGGCGCTCCTAGTAGAAGGGATTCCGAAAACGCCCAGGCAGCAATCCCAGAGCATCTGCATTTGCCAGAGCCTTCGATGTTGAGGTCAGAAGGTTTTGGCTGGTCATTTTCTACCAGTTCTTTTGAGTAGCGAACAGTGAGAGCTGTCCCTTCAGGAGCAAGCGGCTGGTCCAGTCCGTAAGGTCAGGGGCAGGCAGTGGGCATGGAAAAAGTATTAAGAAAGCACCTAGAAGTGATACAAAGAGGCAGTATGCTTCTGATTGTGGTCTGATGCTCTTCAAGATATAGTGCTTCAAGATACATCAAACTCCGAGCATTTGGGCATCATCCTCAAGTCATGCGCATGTGCATATCAGCACCAAATCCTCTGGTGTCCAACTAGCTTTGTGGGGATCACGGACACTTGGAGGCGCGTTGGACCCTATGATGAGTTCGAGGTTGAGCTGCAACCTCAGTTTTCAGGTTGCATGGGTTGCTTGATGCGTCTTGATAGATTTTGAACGGGAGTCTTGTGAGTCTTGTGCCAAGTGCCGACTACAATGGCTTCCCTCGCTACTCACAGTATGACTGGGATGAGCCTGAGTGCCTTGGTGCAGTGATTGGCCAGAACTTGTCGAACTTGTCGCAATTTTCTTTCATCGATGGTCGTTTCAGTTCAGTCCTTCATCATCGCCCTTGGTTTTGCCAGTTGGGAACACGATCAGTTTGATGGACCTCAGACTGTGGGATCAGCAGTCTCAACCTCAGATCTTTGGCTGAGTCGGCTGAGTGTTCCAAAATTTTGCATATGCTGAAGACACCTCGCAGATCTTTGTGCGGAACCTTCCTCCTGGTGTGGAAGGGCAGCAACTAAAGCATCTCTTCGAAGAGGCGGCAGATGTGGGGCTAGAAAGCAGTCCCTGAAAGCAGTCCCTGAAAAGCAGGCTGGACAGATCGCCAACATCCAGGCACAACCTTTTTTTGGGGGCATCTTGCCAACTGAACATTCTAGCCATGATCTGACTGGCTCTCACTAGGTTGACCAGGGCCCCTTGCCCACAGCAACCATTGGCTACGTGCGCCAGGCCCTAGTTACTAGTTGCTCGCTGGTCTTTTGAATAAGCATACATACACTTGGAGACATAATGGATAGCAGTGACTCGTGGTTAGAGTTGTAAAGTGTGGAGAATGCGCTCTGCAAACAGGGCGTGGGCTTTGATGCTGCAGAACTGTTCCATGGGCGCTACTTGCTGGGGCACGAGCTCAAGGCATAACATTCGCCTCGGTCTTTTGCTTGACAGCAAAACTGGCGGGCTTTGCTTGCTCCTTCTGTGACATTTTGCACTCGTATCCCCAAGCTGTTGCCAGCCATTGAGATTTCATAGGCTGTTGGCAGTTCGCGTCAATCTGATGATATTGTGACATTGTTCTAGCCTTGTTCTCTCCTTGGTAGCTGGCCTAAACGAAGGCTGAGCATTTGTTACTTTGCCTTTGTAAGGGGATGCTTCGACCACACAATTTGATCAAGATCATGTCAGGAATGCTTCACTTCAGTGAGATTGCTGCTTCGTCGATGTCTCAAGTGGACAGGTGACGGTGAAGGCTGCCGAATCAACGGCGGCCCGAAAGTCAGACGATGACTTTTGGCGGCAAGAGACCTCTCCTCAGATGAGAACATAGATAGAAGACAGCTACAGACTAGTTGAGGCAAATGCTGCGTTCCTGTACTGTGTGTTCAAAGAAGATATGTGACACGGAACACCAGACATTTTAATGATTGCAAGGCTTCGTGACATGAAGCAGCGGGGAAGCTTGCGAAATGACCCATGGTTATTGGGCCAGTTTGGTGAAGAGGAGTGTTCTTTTCTTCTTTCCCCCAGGCATCACAGCGTCCAATTGATTTAGAGTAGAGTACCGCCTTATTTGTGTCAATACATCTTGCTGTCCTTTTGCTTCCGATTCCAGGATATGGATTGGGTTGGCCCGCGGAAAGGCCATGGCCTGATTTTCTTCCGTCTTGGCTCGGGTAGAAAGAACGAGACGCTCAGGAAAGGGTGGAACGAAGGGACGCTTGAAAGGCTCAAGGCGAGGGAAAGGTGGCTTTGGCCCGAGCGCAGGCAGGGGTCGGAAGGGATGACTGGAAGTGGGCGGCTTGCGTGCTTCTGAGACAGCATGAATCTCGTTGTCTTCACACGGAGTGTCCGACCTTCTAGTTCAACCATGCCAGGAATGCACAGTGCATTGGCTTGGGACGACTGAGGACGATTGTGTTATGGCCATGGAGCGATGTCTCACTCGATTACAGCGTGCCAATCCGTGTGAATAAGCAGGCTTGAGCCCATGTCGGCCCTGGTTAGACGTCACAGACTGCAGCGACTGGTTTAAGTTGAGGACCTTAGAACATAATTTGGCTCAAGTGGCTGGTGTGAACTCTTAGCCAAAGCTTAGGTGTGCTGGAATGAGAACGTGCTCTTTATTTGGGAGTGTTCGAAAGCGAAGCGTTCGCTTGACGCGAGTACTCACCTGTAGTGCTCTTGCAGCTGGCCTGTATAGTAATAACGTTCATGCAGGAAGCTTTTGCAATGGCCTCACGCAACCATGGAGGAGCATACCTTCTTCACCCAGTTCAACTCGCAGGCAAGCTGGGCGATTGTCGCAAGACTTGCTGGTGATGCAGAACTTCTGCAGCACGAATTCAATTATCGAGTATTTCAAATCTGAGAGTCGGTTCATGAAGTTGGCGAAATTGGAGCAGGATGCCCTTGAAGCCAGGGATAGGAAAGATGCACAGTTCTTAGCTGATGGTGTTCAACAGGCAATAGAAGAAGGCTTGCTAGCTCAGCTTGAAGAGACACCTGCCTATGAAGACATCGATGTGATGAGCATGACACCAAATCAGTGTGCCGAATTCATCGCCTCCAAATTGCCCAGAGATGGGGCTGTAGTGGTGGTGGTCGGGGGAAGCGGCACTGGGAAACAGACGACTGTCAATGAACTGATGAAGCTGTTGCCTTCAGCTGTGGCGTGGTCGAATGGTGACTGCTTTCGGTCTTTGACCATGTTGGCCATTGCTCACAGCAAGCAATCTGGAGAGCGGATCACGGACTGCCTCACTTCACAGAATTTAGATACCTGGGCTGGTATGCTGGAAGTCACCACGGAAGGTGATGTTCTCATCAAAGGATGTGGAATTGATGAAAAGGTCTCTGAAATAAAAAATACATTGCTCAAGGACCCAGGACTTGAAGAACTTCTGCCGAAAGTGGCCAGCTTGTCACAGGCCACTGTGTTGGGCTTTGCTCGAAGAGCATCTGAAAAGCTATGCCAATCCGGGCAGACTGCGTTGCTGGAGGGTCGACAGGAAACCTTAGACCACATTCCGACGGAGCATCGATTTCGCTTGACCATGCCAGAGGAAGGGCGGAGGCTCCTAGGAGAGCGCAGGTTGGCTCAAAGAATTCTAGCCCGCTATGTTCGGAAGCCTTCCCGGAAGGATGCAGATGTTGAGTTGCTCCTTCGCGAATGCCTCAAGGAAGAGTCAGATGCAAGGTTATAGCTTTGTTCCAAGATGGGACAACCTGACCTCGCACAGAAGGATTCTAGTAAGAGTGACACAGGATGATTCGCTTAGCTTGGCCGTGAACAAAAGGATGCAGGTCTCTCTCTCACACCTATCATGGCGTAATTATCCCAAACGAAGTTCCCAACGAGCCAGCAAGAGCAATCGTAAACCTGGCATTACTAGAGGGACTAACAGGCTGAGTGGCCGCGCTGATGGAAGATCATATGCTTTGGCCCAACTTATCCAAGGCGCCTGTGTGCATATCAAACAGATAGGGAACGACAAGGAGGATTGATATATTGACAAAGTGCTCACCCATGGACACACAGCCCCTGAGAAGCCACGCAGCACGGAACATTTCAATCACATTTGCTTCCAAAACGTCCAAAACCTGGCACACTCGCAACCTTGATGCTATGGCTTTTCATGCAGACCAGCATTAGAGTGGCGTGCTCAGCTCACCAGATTGACAGGCAGGACCCCAGTTTTGGCTTTGTGTTCCCAAAGAAATGCCCACTGATTATCCTTGCAAAGCTTAGCAACGGGTCAGCTCGGCTTTTGAGGACCTAGCACTGACCTCTTTGAGCCTTAGATGCTTCGGTCATTTTCGGTCACTTGTCCAGCCCCGTGCTGTGAATGGGAAGCGCTTCAGCCTCAGCACAAGTGCGATGCACCAGCAACCTCAGCGAGATGCTGTCATGCTTCAGGATTCCATCAGGAAGATATCCCTTGAGGATGTTCCAGCATTTATGAAGTTGCAGGACTTTCTTCTTTGAACCTTCGTACTTTGGCTGTAGGCAGTTTTCTATTTCTTTGGCCAGGATGAGTTTGTCCTTGAGCATCATGCACTGACGCAGAAGCTCTACGACAAGGCCACTCTGACGCAGAAGCGCACTACTCCCGTCTCCGACCCGGCTGACCCGCTCAAGCCCGGGCCCGGCGGCCCAACAGGTCACACTTTCAGATTGGCAGCACTGCAACGCCCCCAGTGGCGTCCGTCGTGTCTAAATGAGAAGCGTGAGCTATCCTGCGTGCTAGCTAGTTGCAGGTTAGTAGTGGCAACGTAGCCCTCCCAGCCCTTACTTAATTACAGTAAGTAGGTGATTACTTAATTAAGTAAGGGGTAAGGGCGGGCTTCAAAAAAAAACACAAGCAAAGAACGGTGAAGCATCGACTTTGGGAGAGGTTTAATTTGCCCTGAAAAGATCATGCTGGAGCCTGGAGGTCGGGGGAACGTAGTCCCGCAGGGCACATGATACATTTTACATGACAAATCTTGTTGCAGGCAGAGAAAAGCAGCTTGTTGGCATGGTGAAGCAGGACTTGCAGCCACGCTACGTTAGTATTGCGTTTTCCCACACTCAAGTGCTTCCTCAGGAAGATAAGGTATTTCGGAACATACATGTCTTGATGGTTGATGATGGCCCCACTCAGGCCCGGCATAGTTCGGTTTGATCTATATAATTGGTGCTTGCCGTGTTTGCCACAAGGTGGGCTACATCATGCTCCATGTCCAGAAGTCCCAGAGGACCTGTCCGGGTGCCACGAGCAGTTTGACATCGCTTCCGGTCGACATACCGTGACCTGGAGGAGAAGACCAGAGGCGTACGTGCAGGTGCACAAGCTCAACAAACACCGACTTTTGTCGAAGCTTTGATCATTTTGAAGACCTGATTCCAGCTTTCTTTGCTGGAGTGATGTCTGAAAAATGTTTCTTACGGTGTCTGAAACATTTTGAGTTTCAATGAGTGTTTTTTTTTTGTCGGCTGTTGCTGTTGCTTGCCAATCTCAAACCACCTTGCTTTGATATGCTTTGTTGCACAATAAGACCAGTTTTTGCTTGAAATGACAACTTCTGTAACCTATCATTGCTCCACATTTGTGTTTCCGCAGAATTTAGCATGCAGCTCTCATGTGTAGGTGAAACAGCTCTATGTGCGCTCCACACATCGTCAGCGCGGTTTGGGAACACTTCTCTTGGATGGGATGAGAAAGGCCTGCTGACGCTGTTGCTGAAGCGAGCTGCGGAAGCGTAGACAGACGACTCGGTGTGATGTTCAAGGTGAGCGGTCCAGAAGCTGATGACTTACGTTTGAGTGCCACTTGGCAACGATGCAGAGATGCGGCTAGCAAACTGCTTTGGGTTTATGAGAGACAACCTGTGTCTTTTTCCTCCGAGGTCCTGGATTCAAATACATCTGCCTTCAACTGGCGATCAGCTGAGACAAGCTGTGATCATCTCGAGTTGAGAAGAGTCGTGGAGAAAAAGGAAGCCAACAGCTTGACTTCGATTTGAAAGTGAGAACTTTCTTTTGGAACGAAGGATCCCATAGTGATCTCTCAACCTGTTCTTGAGCCTGCTTCTTGAGGTATCGTTCCCGTGGCTTTGTGCTGACTGGAGTTGTCTGGGAATACCTTGGACATCAAGAGGATGCACATTTAGTCGCCTACAAGGCCAGAACCACATGAATTTATACCAGTCTGAACGGCGTTTGGTTGTGCAGGTCATGCAGAGACTCACAAAGTCTGAGTCCGTGAAGCCAATGGCTGAGCAGGAACGAAAGACACGTCTGCCGTCACGTCCGTCGGCCATGCTGCGTTGGGTGCCAAGGAGTGACAAAGCAATCCTCTTTCGCTCAGAAGTGATTGGAGAGGTGCTCTGATTCCAAGTGGGCCCAACCTAATAGCGATGCCCTCCAACCTAATAGCTGAAGATTGAATCGAACTGCTCACAGGTTGTCGGCATCCAATACCCAGATGGTTCCGGGCCATTTGATGTGCAGCACTTGGCCTTTCTTTTAGAGTCGGAAGAGTTCAGCCGCTGGGTGTTGCGCTGCATTCATAGAGTCGGACCTTGTCCGGAAACATCCGGAAACCATCCACAGGATTTTTACGTAGCTCAGGCTCAGCCTCTCTCATAGTCTTTCCTGTATCTTTGTCATTGCAGAACAGTAATCAAAGCATTAATTTTCCAAAATTCAACAGGCCTCGCCAACCCGCATCCCATTTTTTCAAATATGTTTTCCATAAATCATGTCAATGATATAAGCTCCCGTACACTGTGGCAGCTGGACTTTAGGCCAGATTCATTGCATTTCCATCTTTTGATTTGCTGTTTCTGATTCTCATTTCCTTCTCCTCCTAACTGGTGCCAGATTTTCGGTGCCTGCAACATGGCTTGCTTGTTCGCACTCTGCCTCTTGAGAACCCTCCTTTTCATTTCAGTTGCTTTGCCAATGGGTCTTGTCACTCGTTCTCTTCACCTATTCCCAATTCGTTGCTGTATGTTGCTGCGCTTCTCAGTTCTATGAGCTAATGCTAATTTCCTCCTGGCCTTTAGCTCTTTTTGGGCTTGACCAACTCTTGCCTTGCTTGGTTGGTATCAAGGGATTCCCAAAGACCTGGCAAAAGCTCCTCACTGAAGCTCGGCATATCTACCGAGGTTACAATCAGAGGATGGATCGAGCTGCCCCCTCAGTCGCAAAGCCGTGGAACGTTTCACTGACGCAGCTTGTTGAGGTCTGAGCAGCTGCACATGGTGGATTCCAAAAGCTTATCTACGTGGAATGCGGCTCCCTAAGTCGAATCGAAGTGAAGAAGACTGGATCGAAATAGTGTAGCCACATGCACCGACTACAATTGAACGATTTGTTCACCGGGTATCTTTACCCTGCGCACCTGTGAGGGTGAGCGATTTACCGACCTCATTGACTTCAACGAAGCTTTCACCAGTGGCCGGGCAGCCTTTCACAGGCGACTTGGTTTTTGTTTGTTTGTTTCTATTCAATTTTTTCGTTGCGCAGTTGCTTGTTGCAGGAGCAATACAAAGGGTCTGAAACGTCAAACTTGAATACCATTTGCTCTTGCTGTGCGTAAGCAGATTCACTTGTGAATCCAGCAGTCTCCCAGACTCGAGCAGGAAGCTATCTCTCGTGATGCGAGATGTGGAGATGACGAAGATGCTGGCTAAAAAGGTGCACCCTTGTAAAAGATGATCTGGAAGGGCAGAGATCACTGTAAAAGCTGTGTTGCCATGCTAAACAGAGATCACATATTGCCTTACGCTGAGCCTCCAATGATACTGGTACCTCACGACATACGTCACCTGCTAGATTCTAGATTCTCCTCCGCTTTTCATTGCAATCATGGTCCTGAGATAGCGTGTACAGTGTAGCGGAGGAAAGCAAGTGCCCATCATCAAACAGCTTCCTTTGCGCAGTGATCAACCTTTTGGGGTCTAGGCCAAAGAGAAGGGGTCTGATCCGGATGAACGGAGAAAGCGAAAAAAACAGGACATCTCTGAGACAGCTTTCTTGCGGATTGAAACATCTCAGCAAGATTGGTGGCGCTTTTGAGCTTGGCAGCTGGGGCAGGAGCATCCACTACATCGAACATTACGAAAGCACCGTCAAGTGCAATCCTGAAGGACACTTGCTCTCTTTGCTTGTGATTCTGACTTTAAATCTTTACGACGGGGGGCGTGAGGCTGGACTTGCTTCAGAGATGTGTTGGACAATCTATTTCATGTTATTGTTGGAACACTTTGGATGTGAGGAACTGGGCGCTCGCCAGCAGAAAAATAGTGACGTGGTGATGTCTGCAATTGTCTTCGATTAGACGTTTTCTTGTCTGGACATGTTCTTCTGAAGTCGTTGCTGTCGGTAATTCCGCAGCCTTCAGCACAAAGCCATGCTCAAGAAGCCTCAGCCGAAGTGCAAAGCACATCAACACACTGCAGTTGAAGATATTTTGTTTCAGATGTTTCCGCAGACTTTGACAGCCAAAAGCACCTGACATGCATGCATTAGGGCATTACTCTTGCATGGGTTAGCACATCACACAGTTCTTGGGGCCAGGGTTGGCCGCACGTAAAGGACTCGAGCCAAGTGAACAGCCTGATTGCATCTCAGCGTAGACATCTGCTGTGCCATGAACGATCCTCGGAAAGAGTACATTGTTCAATGCATCATCAGTGTGCTGAACATACCACGGAGTGAATTCCGCAGCAACACCACGTCAAACACAGCGTTGGAGAAGTTCTTGGATCATCCAAATGAAAAATTGCTCCAGGCTGTGGAGAATGACTCAAGCGACACGAATAAAAGAACTGTGACTCTACAGTTGGGCTTTTCCAGTTATGCAGAGGGCATTCCAGAGATGCACTTCATCAAGACCTCCTACGAGCCATTGACCGAGGAGAACATCTCAAGACTGGTGCTCATTTCGTCTTTGAGAATGTCACCGGTGCGCAGTTTGTTCTACAACGTCCGCGAGGTCTTCATGCCGTTGTTGGTGGAAAGTGGAAAGGATTCTGATCTGGAAGGTCGCCTCACAGATTGCTTGACAGAGCTGGACGCAGGCCTCAATGCATCATTGCGCCGTGGGCTCCGGAACAGAAATGTTGGCGATTTTGAAGAGACTGATGTCTCAGGCTTGCGGGGGCCCGGTGGTGTGCGTGGGGGCACGGAGTTTGCTATTGTTTTTTTAAGGGGAGGGATTGAATGGTGTATGTCTGTGCGCATGTGGATGCCCCTGCAGGAATTGTCACACCAATCGATGAGGTTCGCTTCTGGGAAGAGCTGAAGAACGCGACTGGAGTGAGTGATTCTGCAGTTGAGCGTGCCACAAAATTTTCCGAAGCTTTGTCTGTCATTGGCTCAGACTTAGATGATATGTCCAAGAAGACATTTGCGCAATTGCTCGAATTCATGGACAACGTGATGGAATCGTTGGATGGGCTGTGGCAGAATGAAGCTCAGCCGAAATACCCGGCTGCTCGAATGCTGCACTTTCTAAAGATCCTTTCTGGCTCCTTTGGTCGGTGTGTGCAATCCAGGCTCAACAGCTTGAACATTTGGACATCATCATTCTCGCAAGTCTCAAAGCATATTCGCGAAGGCTACAAGGTTTGTGAACGCTGGAATGAAATCACAGTCGACCTGACGGAGCAGTGGCGTTCAAGCGAGAATGTTTGGGAAGGAGAAGCCTATAAGGATGACTTCGTGGCAAATCTAGCTGTGCGCATACAGGAAGTGAGTCAGTTGCGAGGCCAACATGATCAGATTCTCAAACTGTTGAGTGCCGAAGAACTCAGAGATATGCAAATCGAGAGTTGCTTTGAGCCATTCATAAAGCTCTCGGCCTTCAGCTACAATGACTACACCGTGCCCGCATGGAGAGCCGCTTTGTCTGATTATGAGGCACGCATGGCTCCCATTGAAGCTCGGGTCGCTGAGCGGCTGCGTGCCGAACTCTTCACCAACACATCCAACCCCGCACAGACCGTCCGAGTCTTCCAAAGATATCAGGATCTGTTGGAGCGAAAGAACATCCGCCAGTCCTTGACCAACGAACGGGAGCGGCTCTTGACCGAGTTGGATGATTTTCTGGGTCGAGTTCAATCTGAGCTTGAAACGTTTGAGGTGAGCAACTTGCCAGCTGGTCGCGGGTTGAGCCTTCCAGCACGAAAGATGGTTTGGGTGGAGCACTTTCGAAGTAAGGCTGATTTGGCTGCTCGGCCATTGCAAGGCTTTCTCAAGGATCTGCCCTCAGCAGGGAAGGTGGGGAATACCTACCGAAAGGTGCGTGCCGAATTGAAGGAGTACCGAAACAAAGCTTTCAAGGACTGGTGTGAGGAGGTAGATTCGCAGCTTAGAGATCCTGATGATCCCATTGCGCTTGAAATGAACAGTCGTGTCATGGACTTTGACACTGCTCAACAAGGTGCGCTGAAGATCACATATTCTGAGCGCCTCATAGAGCTGGTGAAAGATGCACGTCTTTTTGAGCAATTGGGATGTACGATTCCGCCGAAGGTGAAGGCTGCGGTTCAAGATGGCATGAAATTCTACCGCTTTGCAGTGCAGCTCAAGCAGGTTTGCAATTTTTACAACACCTTATCAGCAGAACTGCTTCCCTCTCAGAAATTGATGGTGTTGCAGCCTGCTCTTGCTTTCGAACAGCTCTTCAATGACAAGAGTGGTATGAGGAAAGTGCAATGGAACAAGCTTGATCAACTGGAAGCTTTCACTCGGCATGTCAAAGATGGTGCTGAACGCTTGCGCGAAGTGAATCGAAAGCTACGGAATGGTCACAGTCAGGTCTCGCAGGAGGTGGTGCAGCTTGCCAATATCAGCTTGCTACGACAGAGAGACCAATGGAAGCAGAAGATCTCACAGATACAGAAGCACATTGATGCCACCATTGGCGCTGTGCAGTGTCAAGTTGCAGATGCCAAGCCATGGAAATCTCATTGGGATTACCAAATCTTCAAGATCATGGAAGTTCAGTATCGCTTTGGCTTGGAGAGTCTGAATGAGAATTTGCCTGAAATGAAGGCTGATTTGATTGTGGCCCAAAAGCAGCTGAAATTGAAGCCTCCTTTGGAAGAATTGAAGGCGGCCTACTTCAAAGAGATCAAGACCTTCATCGCTTTGCCCTTGCAGTTCAAAGGTCTTGATGGTGCACCCCATGTCTACAAGGTCATGCCGGACCGCAATGCTGAGGGTATTGCCGTGGTTTTCCAGAAGGCAGATGAGCTCTTTGTCAAAGTGCAGCGGCTGCAGAACTCCTACGCTCCCTGGCTGGTTGTTGGTCTTCTCCCTGAGAGGGTCCAAGAGCTGGTCGATGAGCTGACGGATCCGAAGGATTGGGAGATGAACTTCAAAGCCATTAAGGCCAAGCGCAAGGAGATGGACAAGATTCCGGATACCGTAAAGATTGACTGCTTCACCATCAGCACGGTGATTTTGAAGTCTGTCATTGAAGATCAGCTTGACCGGTTAAGTGATGCTTTGATCATTTCTCTGAAACGCAAGGCTTCGGATGAGGTGAAGGTAGTGATGCAGTTCTTGGAAGAAGGCTTAGAGAAGCTCAATGTGAGGCCCGACACTGTGCAAGAGCTTGGCAAAGCGCAAGAGGATGCGAAGCAGCTCATGGAGCAACATCACGAGGTGAAGAAGCAGCTGGATGCTGCAGAAGAGAAGAACAAGCTCTTGAAGTCCTATGCTGCAGGTATTGACATGAATGAGGTGCAGAACAAATGGGATGATTTCCTTATCCGCCTTGAAGCCTTCGAGCAGCTTGCCCATGACCTGCGAGAGGAATTGAAAGGCAAAATGGACCAGCGCATTGTTTCAATGAACAGCGAGATTGAAAAGTTTGCATCACGCTGGCAATCTCTGAAGCCAAAGACCACGGAAAACTTCTCCATGGATGATGCGAAGAGAAATGCCCAGCAGATGCAGGAATGGCAAGCAGAATGGCAGGGTCTTAAGGACAGAATTTTCAGCAAAACAGACGCTACTAGGGGCTCCTGGCATCGCTACTTCGGAGCAAGGACGCTACTAGGGGCTTACTACTAGGAGCAAGGATGCTACTAGGAGCAAAGGTTCCGCAGCTTTCATGGAGTAAATCTATTCAGGTCGCTTTGCGACGATCACCGTTTGCACCAGTTGTTCTGAGAGACAGAGTGGGCATGGCCTGTCCATCCTTTAGGTCGGACACATATTCAGGTAGAGGTGTCATATTCGATTTATATAATTTGACTCTACTCTGTCATATTGTACCGCATTGTATGCATTGTAATTTTGTTCATTTCCCCCTTAAAATTGTACAGTTTTAAAGGGGGTCCAACTTCCAACTTATATTCAACAATGCCTGCAATTTGCAATTTTTGTATTTCCTATCTATATATATACATTTTTTTGTCCGCCACATTGTGGTATATACTGCTGTGCTGTATCGTATCCGATTGAATTGAATTCTATTCTATCATATTCTATCGTATTGCAATGTATTGCATTTATATACATGCATGTATTGTAATTGACCGATTGAAATTGTACATTTCCTGCAAATTGTTATTATCCACTTCATTGCAAGGTTCATCACTATGTCACTTGACAATCATGCATATTTGTATAGTTTTGTATGTATCACCTATGTCTTGCTATTTCCTACTTCTTTCTCTTAATAATGATCACTCCGTTCTGTACTTGCATCGTTTGCAGCACCAGATCCATGAAAGCAGTTTGCGTAGTTTCTCTCTGCATGCGTACCACTTCATGTCCTATGCCCTGCCCTCCCAGATCATATAGCACAATACCTGTACCTCCACATCAAATGTTGCAAACATTGCATTTTTCATGTCCTGGTTATAGGCATCTTTTCTCCCACCACTTCCCCTCCAGACACACCTCACGATTCGATGCCGAAAATGCAATTCCGTTCCCAAACGAAGAAGGCATCCTTCCAGCTAAAGCGAGAACTGTTGTGTGATAGCACCCCAACATCGGTGCGGGTAGATTTGTTGTAAGTTTCCTTTGGGAAAGGTGGCACCTAGTTTGAGTGTCAAGAGCCGAAAAGATCGAATCCCAGCCACCGTCCCTCCGAACCGTCTTCACACCAGGAGCAAATCGTCGTATTGCAGGGAGATTGTTCAGACTTTGGACTGCCGCCACCTGAACTTTCCAACATTGCTGAAGTAGAGGATGACCTCAACAAGCAGCAGGCTGGAATTGCCTTCGCATGTATCCAGTACTACTTGTGTCGCCAACAAGCATCTCAGGGCATCAAAGTGCACTATATAACCCTTCGCAATCCCCATTTAGCTTCATATTTTCGATGTGGTTTGTGGGTGTAAAACACACACACATATATATATATATATTATATCATAAAACCAAAACGGGAGGCAACGTTTCTTTGTACTTCAGTATCCATGCAAGACACTGTGAGGCCAGCTGGAGTCTCGTTGAGGAGTTCAACACTCAGTATGAAGAACTCTTGTCACAAACTTGGCTGGAACTCCGACCACGGCTCTTCACGGTTCAAGATTTGGCGCATAATTGGATGGCCAAACTTCGAGAAGTTCCACGGGACACCGTGACTCACATGCTTTCTCAAGAAGTCCAACGGTTGGAAGCAGCTCACCCTGCCTTGAAAGCGATGACGGGCGAACCCTTTGAGAGAGATCACTGGAAGATACTTTTTGGATTGCTGAAGATGCCAGACCTGAGACTGGAAGAGTTGCGCTTCAAGGAGACTTTGCTGATCTTTAAACACATTGGAACATGATTAGGGCTTGTCACTGCTTGTCCAGAATTTGTCCTTACTCCTCATTTGGGTCCTTTAGAGTTGCCACTCGTTTTTGACCGGTCTATGCTAGAGTTGTCTTTTTTCTATTGTAGACTAGTGTGGGCAGCAAAAGATTCGACAACAAGACAAGACATCCTGCAGGATTTAGCTCAGAGGCTTGACGTCATTGTTGAGAGAATCGACGACTTGAAAGAACTGACTGCAAGGGCCATTGGAGAAGTGACCATCCGAGATGCGGTCATGGAAGTTTCAGCTTGGTTTGAACAAGCAGAGTTCAACTTTATGGATCATCAAGTCAAGGGTGGTTTTGTGCCATTGATCAAAGATTGGAAGGACCTGATGTCAGAGGTCTCGGAAAAGCAGAGTCTCTGTGGCTCATTGAAGGACTCTCGGTTTTTTGCTCCTTTCAAAGATCAAGTGGACAAATTTGAGGAAAAGCTGGCGCTTCTGGATGAGCTTCTCCTTTGCATGAACAAGGTTCAGCGGAAATGGGTCTATTTGGAGCCCATCTTCGGAAGGGGCTCGCTTCCGCGGGAGAAGGAACGCTTTGACAAGGTGAATACTCAATATCGCCAGATCATGAAAAATGTTGGTTCACAGAAGAAAGTGAACTACTTGTGCAGCCTGGCGAAACGTAAACGGTAACCGTTAGCTTGCAACGGTATGTGACCCTTTTGAGTTAACCTTTGAATAAGACGCGCACAAACGTGTTGTTCCGGAAGACGTGATTGTACGTAGATGTGATTACAGTGCTCTCAACCAGAACATGTCAAGAAACACAGGGGTTTCGACGTGTATAATCAAGAAAGAGGATCACACATGGGATTCACATACATGGGATTCAGATTGCCAAGGCACAGTTCGTGGGCTAAAGGATCAATTTGCCACCATGTTGGACCAGCTCGAGCGTTGTCAAAAAGCTCTCAACAGCTTTCTGGAAGAAAAGCGATCAGCGTTTCCACGCTTGTACTTCATTGGGGATGAAGACCTTTTGGAGATCTTGGGACAGTCCAGCAATCCTGAAGTCATCCAAGCTCACCTGAAGAAGCTCTTTGCTGGTATTGCCACTGTAGATTTTGACCCCAACATCACTCGTATCGTAGCTATGAACAGCTCGCTCAAAGAGAATGTGCCGTTGGGAAATCCAGTGGTTGTGAAGGAAGGTGATGAACCTTTGCCGGTAGAAGAATGGCTCTCAAACCTCTCAAATGAGATGTTTTCCACGCTGGCAGCACAGTTGCAGGGTTGCTATGCTCAGTCAGAAATGGATATGCAACAATTCGAGAGGTATCCATCACAGCTATTGTGCCTGAGTGCGAACATTCACTTTACCTTCAATGTGGAAAGGTACATGAACAACGGGCAGCTTCATCAACTGAAAGATGACTTGAGATCTCAGCTTCAATCTATGACTTCGCTGTCTTTGGAAGGGGCCCTTCCACAAGCGAAGCTGAAGTCCCTAATCTTGGATCTCATTCACAATATCTCTGTTCTAGATGATTTGCTGGTCCAAAAGGTCACCAGGCTCTCGGATTGGAGCTGGTTTCGGCAGCTTCGCTACTACTTGCGACAGGGCGTGGTGCCTGAGCAGAGGCCTTGTAGCGTTCGGATGTTGGAATGTGAGCAGTTCTATTCCTTCGAATACCAAGGCAATGCTCCGAAGTTGGTGCACACACCTTTGACGGACAAGTGCTATTTGACGCTGATGCATGGCTTGCACTTGGGCTATGGTGGCAATCCGTATGGTCCAGCAGGAACTGGAAAGACTGAGTCAGTGAAAGCGCTGGGCTCCTGTTTGGGACGGCAAGTCCTGGTCTTCAATTGTGATGAAGGTATTGACTTCCAAGCCATGGGCCGCATCTTTGTGGGTCTGGTACGTTGTGGAGCCTGGGGCTGTTTCGATGAGTTCAACCGTCTCTTAGAAGAGCAAATGAGCGCCATCTCGCAGTCAGTGCAACTCATCCAGGCCGCCATCAAGAACAGTCATAGCACCGTCCACTTGCTGAGCCGCGATGTGCAGGTCAATCACAATGCCGGAATCTTCATTACGCTGAACCCTGCCACCAAGGGCTACGGAGGTCGTCAGAAGCTGCCCGACAACCTCAAGCAACTCTTCAGACCCGTTAGAGTCTCAGTCAGTCGGGTGCCTTTATAGATGAAGCTTCCCAGCCTGGTAGTTTGGTGGCTTTTAGGTGCTCTACTGCGAACCTATGTAAACCTCAGAGGCTTCTATTCTGATTGCAGGTTTTTTTGTGAACAAAGTGACTAGACTAGTTCAATCAGGAACTGGGGACAGACCGACCGCAAGCACCCCCCCGACAATTGTTGAATCTGCGCAGCGCTGGAACTGCCTAAGGTGGCCATGAGCGTCCCAGACAACGAGCTCATCGCTGAGGTGATGATGTTTGCGGAAGGCTTTGTGAGCGCCAAGGTTTTGGCCCAGAAGATCGTCTCTTTGTTCTTGCTCTCACGGCAACTCTTGTCCTCCCAACAACACTACGATTGGGGTCTACGAGCTTTGAAGCCGATTTTGACACTGGCTGGACGACTCTTGCAGGAAATCAAGGCTCAGCAAAGCGGGCCGTTGCAAGAAGATGAGGAAGCGGTGCTGTTGCTGAAGGCAGTTCGAATGAACACTTTGTCAAAGCTGACGTTTGCCGACTCTAGGCGCTTTCAAGACTTGTGCATGGATTTGTTCCCTGGAATCAACGTTAAGGACATTGAGTACCAGGAGCTTGAAGCGGTCATCCGAGAGACCATGAGAGAAATGCGCCTGGCTGAAATTGACACACAGATCTACAAGATGCTCCAATTTCATGAAGCTTGCCAACAACGAATGGGGGTTGGCATCGTTGGCCCTTCAGGGTGTGGGAAATCAACCATTTGGAAGGTGCTGGAGACAGCATATAAGAAGCAAGGTAAGAGGTATGTGGTTCATGTGATGAACCCCAAATCCATGCACAGGATCCGACTCCTGGGACACATGGATCATGACACGAGAGAATGGTTTGATGGAGTTCTGACTGCAAGTGCAAGGAAGGTCATCAAGGAGCCAACTACAACCCACAATTGGATTGTTTGTGATGGCGACATCGATCCTGAGTGGGTGGAATCGTTGAACAGTGTTCTGGATGATAATCGGTTGCTCACCATGCCAAATGGAGAGCGAATCCAGTTTGGAACCAATGTCAACTTTGTATTTGAGACAGATCACTTGCGCTTTGCATCCCCAGCGACTATCAGTCGATTGACCATCATTTTCCTGTCCGAAGAAGATGTTGATGTCAAGCCACTGGTGACTTCGTGGATTTTGAAGCAACCGGAGGATCAGCAGGCACGCTTAGAGAGTTGGTTTGACGAGCTGTTCTACAGAGCTCTTGACTGGCTCTATAGGGGTCCTCATGAGCTTGCCATAGAGACCACTCGGATGGGAATGGTGAGCAATGTGCTCGGCCATTTGAACAGCGATGACGTCTCGGAGGAAGCCCCTCGCTTCACGAAACAGAATTTCTTGCTGGCCATTTGCCGCGGTTTGGGTGGGAACCTGTCGGAGGAGGATCGTGCAACATTAACTCGCGAAGCCTTTAAATGGGCCAATGAGAACATCCCTGATCCCAGTCAGCCACTCCACTGCCAGGTTGTTGAGTCTCTGATTGTCGGCTATCAAAGAGACTCAACTTCTGTAGACATCTCTTTGGAAGATGTCCAAAGAGCTGCAGTTCTTCCACCCTTGGTTCCGACAGCTACAGTTCTTCGCAACATGGACCTGTTTGCAACCTGGTTAGCGCAAGAGCAGCCGTTTATTGTAAGTGGACCAGAGGGTGCGGGCAAGAACTTGCTCATTCGTCATGCCATCCAGAGATTGCAGAACGAATCTGACACTGCTCTCAATGTGGCCGTCTTGAACTGCAACGCCCAAACAACATCGAAGGACCAACTGCTGTAAAGTGTGGACAGTTTTTGGTATTTGTTTGGTGCCTTTTTCCTTGTCTACAGGTGCTTCGAGTGTTCAAGCTAGCTACAACAACTTTAACGTAAGCTTACCAGCTTTGTGCCCCGCTGACAGGATGTTCTGCAAAAGCTTCGTCAATTCTGCAGCATCTCCACTGGCACCACTGGTCGCATGTACCGTCCGAGAGAAGGACGGCGACTTGTCTTGTACCTCAAAGATATCAACTTGCCAACTCCAGATAAGTACGACACCTCGGAAATTATCATGTTCTTACAGCAGGCTGTCATGCACAAAGGCTTTTACGATGATGACTTGGAGTTTGTGCAATTGGAGCATATCCAAATCGTGGCTTCCATTGCTCCTGCAAGTACTCTTGGTCGGCATCGTTTAGCAACTCGCTTCACAGCCATTGTGAGGGTGTGCTCTATCTCCTATCCGTCATCGGAGGAACTGAGTGAAGTGTACTCACACTTCTTACGTGCAACCATGACAGCACCTCACTGGCAGAATGTAGCAGAACGAGCTTATGGTCTGTGTGACAAGGTTGCAGAGGCAATGGTTGATGTGTATAGCAACATGAAAGGCAAGTTCACAATGGATGACCACGAACACTACCTCTTCAATCCCAGAGATTTGACACAATGGGTTTTGCAGCTCCTGCGATATGAAGTTGTCTCAGTGGAGAGCTTCATTGAGGCTTGGGCATACGAAGCCGCACGGATTTTTAGAGACCGATTGGTGGGAGATGAAGCAAAAAGCCACTTTGACTCCATCCTTCGGAATGCATTGATTCAGTACCTGGGCACTGATGTTGAAGTCGACAAATTGATCTTTACATCAATGTTGACCCTCAACGACGAAGGGGTTCCAAGTGGTGATATGAAGAAAGTCTCAGTGGAAGATTATGCAAAGATGGTCCAAGATGGGTTGAAATCCTACCAGCGGGAGGTGAAAGATCTTGATATCGAGCTTGTGCCAGAAGTTTTAGAACAGATCAGCTGGATGGATCGTGCTTTGGCAGCACCTGTGGCCAATGATCTATTGGTGGTTGGACGCTCAGGTTGTGGAAAGCGTTCTGCAATCTCCCTCCTGGCTCACATGCATCGTTTGGCAGTTTTCAGTCCAGCTCCTGCTCGCCGTTATGGGGCAAAGGAGTGGAAGCGCGACTTGAAGCAGGTGATGCAGATGACTGGCGTGGAGAAGCAACATACCATCCTCTTCTTGGAGGATCACCACTTGATCAAATCCGAGTTCTTGGAATCCATCAACTCCTTGCTGAGTGCGGGTGATGTGCCTGGCATTTGGACACCAGAAGAGTTAGAGCCTTTGCTTGCACCCCTGAAGGAAGAGTGGGCTGCTTCACAAGGGAGAGCAGGTGGAGCCCGCACGCCATTCGAGTACTTTTGCAACCAAGTGCAGCAGCGATTGCATGTGGTCTTATCAATGGACCCGAATCATCCCCACTTCCTTCCGTATTGTGCTGCTAATCCAGCCCTCTTCTCATGCACTACAGTCTTGTGGCTTGATGAATGGTGTGAGCAGAGCAAATCGATTATAGCACAGCGCATCATGGGAGAAGATGTGCTCGATAGCAAGAGAACCAATCTTGGACCCCTGCTGCAGTACATCCATGCTTCGCAAGCAATGAGAGGTGCATGTCCCAGACATTTCATCACGCTGCTCCAAACGTGCCATGCAATGTATGCAGCGAAGATTTCCACTGCCTCAGGCCAGTCCTCCCACTTGCAGAAGGGTCTACTGAAGCTACAGGAGGTCAGCCAAACTGTTGAACAACTCCAAGAAGATGCTGTTGCAAAGCAGCAAATCTTAGGTGAAAAGCAGCAGTTGGCTGATGAGGCATTGAAGCGAATCACAGTCGCGATGCAGCAGTCAGCCGACCGTCGACAAGAAGTCGAACGCTTGGAAACTTTGACCAAGGAGGAACAGGAGAAGACGGCAGAAGAGAAGGCAATCATTGAGAAGGAGCTCTCTGAGATTCAACCGATTCTAGATGCGGCCAAGAAAGCAGTTGGAAGCATCAAGCCGGAGCACCTCAACGAGATCCGAGCACTAAAAATGCCCCCAGATCCCATCCATGATGTGCTCAATGGTGTTTTACGCATCATGGGCAACTACGACAACTCTTGGGCCTCAATGAAGAAGTTCTTGGCGGGCACAGGAGCCATCCAGCGAATCATCAACTTTGATCCACGACAGATTGACAATCAAACGCGCCATGACGTGGAGAAGCTACTGCGAGAGAAAGCCAATTCCTTCGAACATGCCACAATCTACAGAGTGTCCGTGGCGGCTGCACCTTTGGCAAAGTGGGTCGTGGCCAGTGTGAAATACAGTACTGTGCTGGTGAAGGTTGCGCCCATGGAGGAAAAGTTGAATCATGCACTTGAGTCCTTCAGACAAGGCCAAGAAAAACTGGCACAGCACAAGAGTCTTAGTCCTTGCCTTGCCTTGTTGTTTTGGTAAATCTAACTGTTCATTCCTTTCTTTTGTCAGGTGCTTTAGACTTTGAGCCTTTTGTTTCTGAACGGATCAGATAGTCAGTGACACTGCTTTGAGCGAAGGAACGAGCTGGTCAAGATCGACGAGGACATCGCACAGCTGCAAGAGGACTTTAGTCAGCGCAAAGGTGAAGCTGCAGTTCTGAAAGTGGACTTGGAGCGTGCAGAACAGACCTTGAACAAGGCCAATGGCTTAATGTCAAAGATGTCTGGAGAGAAGGATCGCTGGGAATATCAGGTCTCTGAGATCCAAAGAGATGCAGCCTTGCTTTCCACTCACACCTGTCTTTCAGCTGCATACTGTACTTACCTGGGACACTTCTCCGAGGACATCCGCCAGCAGGTGCGGCCAGGTTTGTTTGTTTTTCTTTGCTTTCGCAAAAGGGCAGAGGTAGTTGGACTGTGCTTGTGTTGATGTAGCACCAAAGTGGTTGTGATCCCAGCTTTTCTTTCAAACCTAGCCAGAAACTGGCCCCGAAGGCCTATACGTCGTGGACAGAGTCACGCGGAATCACAACGTTTGACTTCCTACGAATCATGTCTTCGGAAAGTGAGCTCCTCACGTGGAAGGCACAAGGTTTGTCGGCCGATCGCTTGTCCCAGGAGAATGCTGTGATGATCAATTCAGGCATCCTTGTGCCATTCATTGTGGATCCCAACAGTCAAGCATTGGAATGGCTCAAGCAGACGAACTCATCTGCTGAGGTAGTCCTTCAGCAAGACCCGAAGCTGGTGTCTCAGTTGGAGCTGTCTGTGCGATTTGGCAAAGTCTTGATCATCCAAGAAGTGGACGGCATAGACAACTATTTGGTCCCACTCTTGAGGAAAGATATGGTCCGCCAAGGTCCCCGAAAGGGTGTCCAGATCAGTGACAAGATGTGCGACTTTGATGATAACTTCAGACTCTTCCTCTGCACTCGAAACTCCAGCGCTATTGAGATACTCCCTCCAAATACTGCTTGTCTTGTTACCAGAGTGAACTTCACGGTCACAAGGGCTGGACTTGAAGGACAGCTCTTAGGAGTAACTTTGCAGTATGAGAAGCCGGAGTTGGAGCATCGCAAGTCCGAACTGTTGCAGAAGGAAGAAGAGTTTAAGGTTGACTTGTCGAAGCTGGAGAAACAGCTCTTGGAACAATTGGCGGACTCCAGTGGCAACATCCTCGAGAACGAGCCACTCATTCAATCTTTGGAAAAGGCGAAAGCTGCTGCGACCACCATTACTCAATCTCTGGAGGAATCAACAAGGCTTCAGATGGTTTTGGATGAGGAGCGTGAAGTCTATCGCCCACTAGCCACCTTGGGCTCTCGCATCTTCATTCTGGTGAAGGAGCTCAGTGCAATTGACCACATGTACCGCTTCTCCTTGGAGGCGTTCATGACGCTCTTCAACAAAGTGCTCAACTTGCAACTTGGGACAGAAGGCACACAAGATAAACTGCGCCAGCTTGGAAACCAGTTGAAGATCATGGTGCTGTTCTACATCTCACGGTCGCTGTTCAAATCGGACAGATTGACCTTTGGCATTCATATGGTCCGAGGCATTATGCCCGAAAGGTTTGAAGCCAATGAGTGGGAGCTCTTCCAAGGGGTGTACATTCCTCCCAGCCAACCTTCAACTCCGCCACCCGGCTGGTGTCCTCCTGATCGACAAGCCTCTCTTCAACTTTTGCGTGCAACCTTCCCGCGAGTCGATGAACTCTGGCAGCTGAACAAAGATTCCTTGTGGTCTTCGTGGGTCGCCTCAGACAAATGTGAGGAGTCCTTCGACGGTTCCGTTTACTCCCGAATGTCCGCCTTCCAACGTGTCCTGTTGATCCAGGCAGTGAGGCCAGATCGCTTGGAGTCTGCTCTGACTCAATTTGCCTGTGAGTCCTTGGGAGTACAATCATTGTCACCTCCACCATTGAGTTTGGGCCGCTTGTTCAAGGAGGAGACCAGCAACAAGTTACCTATTCTCTTTGTAACTACTCCTGGCGCTGATCCTTCTGCTGAGCTGGATGACTTTGCCAAGATGTATCAAGCAGAAAGTGCACCTCACATGAACTTCCATCAACTTGCTATGGGAGGTGGTCAGAATGATGATGCCATTCGGCTCTTGCGTGAAGCAGCCAGATCCGGAGATTGGATTTGCTTGAAGAACCTCCACCTTGTCATCAGTTGGGTTCCTTTGTTGGAAAAGGAGCTCAAGGGCTTGCAACCTCATGAAAACTTCCGATGTTGGCTTACCACAGAAGCGCATGCCAAGTTCCCAACCATTTTGCTGGAGACTTCATTGAAGGTTACATATGAGGCGCCTCCAGGAGTGAAGAAGAATATTTTGCGAACTTTGGAGTCTTGGAACCAGAATTGGTTTGGACAGGGCAATGACCTGCGCTCCAGAGTCATTTTCCTTTGTGCACATTTCCATGCAATCATGCAAGAACGTCGCACTTACATTCCACAAGGTTGGACCAAGTTCTATGAGTTCTCTCAGAGTGACCTCCAAAGTGCTTGTGAGACGGTCTCTTTACTTGTGAAAGCAGGCGAGTCGGTGAGACAAGCAAGTCCCGGCTCTCCAGGAATCGACTGGGTCACACTGATCGGAGTCTTGGAGCAGGCGGTGTATGGAAGCCGTGTAGACAATGAGTATGATTCTCGTTTGGTCCGTGAATACTTGTCCATGTTCTTCAAGTCTGAGACGTTGGAGGGTGGCAGGAGGAAGTCCGTGGACATCCCCGCCTTCGACCTTCCTGAGTCCACCAACATGGCAGACTTCCGGGCACGTGTGGATCAGCTGCCAGACCTGGACAACCCCGCCTCCTTCGGCATGGCGCCCAATGCCGATCGTTCGCTTCAGCGCATCAACTCTGCGAAGGCCATCGCCTCGCTCCGGCAGTTGGCGACAGGAGAAACCGGTGGAGCTTCAGCCACGGTGGATATGAAGCTGTGGAAAAGTCAGTTGGCACCCCTCTTCACCATTTGGGAGAATGTGAACAAAGGTCACCTCAGTAAGCTGAAAGGCATTGAGGTCCGAGCAGTTCAACCCGATGATCCTCCCACGGTGGCCTTCGTTCTCATGGACGCAGCCGAAGCTTCGCGCTTGGGAGATCTGGTCAGCAACGCCTTATCGACGCTGCAGAGGGTGGTGAACGGCACAGCCCTGAGCACTCCGGACCTACAGGTGCAGGCGAAAGCTTTGATTCGGGGTGAGGTGCCCGAAACATGGTCCTCCAGTTGGCCATCGGCACCAGAAGATCCTTCACTCTATTTGCAGGGCCTGGCCAAGCGCATTGTGGCCTTGAAAGGAGACTGGATCAGGAGGGTCCAGTCTAGAGATGTGACAGGACAACCGGTTTCACTCAGTGATTTCCTGAGGCCAGATGTTTTCCTCAATGCCTTGAGGCAGGAAACTGCCAGAAGACTTGCCGTCTCCATCGACAACTTGCATTTGGTGTCCACCTATGAACCACACCTTTTCAGAGATGATACCGCACCATTGCCAATAACAGTTCAAGAGTTGATACTTGAAGGCTGTGCTTTCGACGAGTTTAAAAGGATTCTCATTGAGGGGCAGCGAACCTCTTCTCTAATATCGGTTTTGCCACCATTTACAATTGCCTGGATGTCCAAAGTTGCACACCCAGAACGAACATCATCGTCAGCGCGTGCGGCTGGCACAATTTCTTTGCTGCGACCTGAGCTTCTTGGGACATCATGACAGTTGATACTTGTGTAAAAGTTGAGCGCGAGCATGCAATCACCTGTTTGTGGAGCGAGTCTGTGAATCCATAAAATGACTATAGTCTCTCTTCTTCTCGTGAATCCACCAAGGCCTGTCTATGCCTCGTTGACAAGAGAACGTTTGATTGCTGAGGCCCGGAAGTGAACTGGACGATTGAATTTGCATCATAATTTGTAATATGTATGTTTTTGTGATCAGTGAGTGACCTGAGCATCTAGAATAAGAGCATTGATACAGCGCTCGGGCATTTTCCACCCACTTTCGCAGCAGGTCGAGCTGAGTACAGACAGCACACGACAGCGGAAGCTCAATGCTGCGGCCTTGTTTTTGACAGAAAATGAGTGAGGCTAACGCAAGTGGACGAATTCAGAGATCTTTCAATTCTGCACTGCTCTAGCTGGTTTCTGACCTGTGAAATGAGTCGGGTCCTTGCTCGATGCCTGCACGTAGTGCTTCAGGCTATGAGCGTCATTTGATCTGAATTCGTCGCAACGCCGCAAAGGTTTTAGCGATTGTGCGTCTTTGGTATATATTTATATATATATATATAACCATATGATGGAATCCATACACGGTATGCATTTTTGATTTGGGTGCATGTTGCTTTTCTGCACTTACAGCTGGAACAAAAAAATCTATGTCCTTTTCTTTTGACAATCTTGCAAAACATCGTTGACAAGTAGCGACAAAATGCTCTTGACTTGGCACATGGCCTCCAAAGAGATATGCCCAAAGTGGGGACACACACACGCACATGGTATTTGAATAGCCGTTGAAAATGACAACATAGGAAACACGAGTTTGCAACCAAGGACATAAATATTAAACCCAGCATGGGACATCTTTTTCCATGCCGGTGCCTGGTGGGTTTGAAATTCCAATCCACCAGGAGTTTCCGGTTCTTCAACCCTCAGCAGTTGGGACAGTCGGGATGGCGAGGCCACGGAGAAATCCCAACATTCAACATGCCACCTCGTTGACTATTCCGTTCGAAGGCATTTTGCCCAAGTGCGCGCCATCACAAAAGGCCAGATTGACAAGACAATGCGGCCGAGTACACAACATCCAGCATATAACGAACTTCAACAAACATCAAAACTTACACAGAAAACAACAGATTGTTGCGGTTGCGCTATTTTGTACCCACCCCTGCACGTTGACACTCATAGGATGGCAGTCGGAAATGCTGTGGGTTGAGATATGGCGATGCAGAAAATTGAAACTGATTGAAACTTTTTTGCCCACTGTGGGGGCGACTTTTGGAGCTCAACTTGTCGACCTTATCGCCCTGAAAAGTAGTGCTAGACTTCACACTCACACGGTTGAAAAGTAAGAAGTGCAGATCGATGGCCCATAGCATTCACAGTGTTTCCCTAATCAAAGATGTTGGTGTTTGCGCACCCTTTGTAAATTCAGACGAGATGCTTCAGATCGACACCTGTGCGGTTTCGCTCCTGCAACGGAGGCGCGTCCTCACAACCTGTGTCGCGACGAATCCTGTGTCTTGAATCTTTCACTTGTTAGCACTGTTACAGTTTTTTTCACATGTTTTGACCGTTGTGTGAGCAGAGAGCCGCCAGGCTCTTCCAAGCGGTGCCGGCAGCCAATTTTTTGTCCTGGAGAGCAGAGCTAGTGCCAGAACCAACCAAAGGGCCAGTTCCTCAGAAGCAAAGGCGATTCATCGATTTCATTTCATGGCGTATCAGTACTTGCGTTTCATGGCTAGGCTATATAGTTGAAATTGCTTCCTTTCACGGACAAAATGCTTCTCCTTTCTATTGCAACTTGACATCACTTGACCTCCGACTCCATTTGTTGGTGTAGGAGGTGGCAAAGTGAGCTAAAAGAGCATTTCAGAAAAGGAACCAGAGGAAATCAAGGAAACAACATAATTTTGTACCCCTGTTGTTTTCATAAAGTTACGAAAGCCAGCCGGTAGGCTAGGCTGAAGTGTTTATTTGAGAACGTAGTGATGTTAGGGGATCTGGGGGGAGCACCTGACTCATTGAATTGTATTGGGAAATGAGCGTGTTTTGGGACCTCATTTCCGGGGTTTGTACCAGGTGGCACTTGGGTGACGGTGGCCGTTCGATTCCTCCCTGGGCGCAGGTTTTGGCATTTTTAGGGGCGTGGGCTTGTCTCACCGGCAACGAAAACCTTTCAGACGTGTCTTTTTCCCGAATGCGTAGCGAAGGGTTCCCGTTTATAGTTGGGGGTCTGGGGGTTGGAGCTGTGTTCGCGTGGCTTGCGTCGTGTCGTCGTCTCTCGTCGTCTGTCGTCGTCTCTCGTCGTTTGTCGTCGTCTCTCGTCGTCTCTCGTCGTCTCTCGTCGTCGTCGCGTCTCAAATTTGCTGCCATTGGGGGAAGCTTTTGCAAGTGACTTTGCATGGATGTGTCACGTGTCAGTTTGCGACGCTATTCCATTGTGATTTGCATGACAACGACATGTCGCGCAAGAAACGTGATGCATTTCGCTGCACAGGCGCAGCGTTTTGTGAGATCCGCAGATTGCCGCGCAGTTCCATTGGGATTAGCGTTTGGAGAGTCGTGTTTTTGGGTGTTGGATGTGGCCGTGCCATTGGGATTTGCGTTTCAGGGTGTGGCATCGAAGCTCGGTTTTCGTGACAAGTCTCAGCTGAAATGGCGATTTTGGTGGATGGGAGTGTGCTCAGAATGGGTCGAAATCATTCCAAACGTGTGGTGTGGTGCAAATTTTGTTGAAGCTCACATGCGATGATATTGTCACTTTTCGTGGCAGGCGCAGGACTTCGTGGGGGCTTTGAAGCGTGGAAGTGCAATTCTCGTGGCAGGCGCAGGGAATCGTGAGGTTGCGAGGTGTGAGGGAGGTGACATTTCGTGGCAGGCGCAGTACTTTGTGCGCGTTAGACGTGTGGATGGGGAAAGATTCGTGGCAGGCGCAGGGAATCGTGAGGTTGTGAGTTGTGGTAGAGGTGAATGTCGCTGTCCCATTGGGATTGGCGTGTGAGCGGATGTTGTTTGGAGGGGCTGGAATCGCGAAACTGCTTGGCAGGGCTGCGTGATGTGTGCGCTCCGATGGGTGTATCCGCTTGAGTTTTTGCTCGTTTTGCAGACTTTGACGTGTGAGTTTTTGAGGAAGTCTCGTACGAAACGCTCGTTTTGGAGACTTGACGCGCAACCCTCTGCGGAGATCGTGCGTGTCGAGTGCACCAAATGCAGGCGAGAGTGCGATTTGTCCCATGTGCGCGCGCCCCTCTGCGGAGATCGTGTGTGTCGAGTGCGCGAAATGCAGGCGAGAGTGCGATTTGTCCCATGCGCGCGCAATCCTCTGCGGAGATCGTGCGTGTCGAGTGCGCAAAATGCAGGCGAGAGTGCGATTTGTCCCACGCGCGCGCAACCCTCTGCGGAGATCGTGCGTGTTGAGTGCGCGAAATGCAGGCGAGAGTGCGATTTGTCCGGTGGAGCTGGAAGCTGAGAACTGGCGACCTTGTAGTACAACTGTAGTACGTGGAGTATCTGGGGAGCTGGAAGCTGAGAACTGGCGACCTTGTAGTACAACTTTAGTACGCGGAGTATCTGGGGAGCTGGAAGAGAGTCCCACAAGAGTGTCCCGCAACAGTGTCCCCCTAGAGTGTCTCAAAAGAGTGTCCCTTAAGAGTGTCCTACAGGAGTGTCCCACAAGAGTGTCCTACAAGAGTGTCCCACAAGAGTGTCCCACAAGAGTGTCCTACAAGACTGTCCCACAAGAGTATCCTACAAGAGTGTCCCACAAGGAGTTGCGCAAGAGTGTGCCACAGAGTGTCCCACAAGACTGTCCCACAAGAGTGTCCTACAAGAGTGACCCACAAGAGTGTCCTACAAGAGTGTCCTATAAGAGTGTCCCACAAGAGTGTCCCACAAGAGTGTCCCACAAGAGTTTCCCACAAGAGTGTTCTACAAGAGTGTCTCACAAGAGTGTGCCACAAGAGTGTCCCACAAGAGTGTCCCGGAACAGTGTCGCTCAAGAGTGTCTCACAAGAGTGTCCTACAAGAGTGTCCTACAAGAGTGTCCCAGAAGAGTGTCCCACAAGAGTGTCTTACAAGAGTGTCCCACAAGAGTGTCTTACAAGACTGTCCCACAACAGTGTCCCACTAGAGCGTCTCACAAGAGTGTCCCTTAAGAGTGTTCTACACGAGTATCCCACAAGAGTGTCCTACAAGAGTGTCCCACAAGAGTGTCCTATAAGAGTGTCCCACAAGAGTGTCCTACAAGAGTGTCCCACAAGAGTGTCCCACAAGAGTGTCCCGCAGAGTGTC